CCCATCCCCTACCCCCTTCTTCAGACGAAGCCGTTCCCCAAGTCGGGGCAGCTTCGCCCAATGTGCGCCATCCTGGTCAGATCCGCCCCATTGTGGCTCCGACCCTCGACGTGGACCGGCACATGCAGAGCCTCATGAAGGTGGCTGACCTCGCGTTGACATGTTTCCTTACCTTCCTCCTCCCCCCCTTCCTTACCCTTTCCACATTCAGACGGAGCCATTTCTCAAGTCTGGTCAGATTCGTCCTATCGTAGCGCCCACTCTCGACGTGGACAGGCACATGCAGAGCCTCATGAAGGTGGCTGACCTCGCCTACCGCTGCGTGCGCACACAGCCCAAGAGCCGCCCCGCCATGGCCGAGGTGGTTCGTGTTCTCGCAGAGGCCAAGGCTCTCCTCGACGCCGAGGGTCCCACTCCCGCCTCTTCTGCTCTCCCGCTCCCCACCCCCTCTGCTGCTGCTGCCGCCTCGATTTCTGCCGGTGCTGGTTCTGTTGGTGGTTCTGCTGCTGGTGTTGGTTCGGGGAATTCGCTGCTTGAGTCGTCCCTGAAGGTGGGGGATGGGGAGTCGGCGTTGCTTATGGACGAGGCAGGAGATGCTTTCGTGCCCCATGCTTCTGTCTCTGCTGCTGCTGCGGCTGCGGCGTCGGCTGGTGCTGCGGGGGATTACGCGAATCCGTTCTCCATCAGCGTTATTTCGGAGTGACTGGAGCTGACTGTATGGAGGATGAGCTGCAGAAAGACCGAGATGAAGAGGTGTGAAGCTAACTTATGAAATGTTATGGTTGTGTGTTCATAAAAGCTGCAATGGAGGTTGGATGGATGAAGGGATCGTTGGCAATTGGGGAGAGTTGCAGCTGGTGTATGTTTGTATTCTGCATCATGCTTGTGCATGAAAGCATAAAGTATTTATATGATATTCCTCCATCAGAAGAGAGCAAAAGGCATTTGGAAACTGCAAATGTGAACCGTTTTCCTAAACACAGGACACTGTAGATCTGACACATGATTATTACTGGTGTTACTGACAGGAGGAGGATGTAGTATGATTGACGTGCACGGGATGATTGCATCAGAACGTAATTATTGCTCTTCAGGCAGCGCCGCCAAACACGGCGCTGATGCAACACGCTGAATCATGCAATTACTGCAATGACGAAGTGACAGGAATATGTGTTGCAGGCGAGGTTACGAAGTCACGTAAGGCGAAGTTACAAGGGTGCGTAGGCGGTGTTGCGAAGATGTTCAGGCAAAGTTACCAGTGAATTATTGGGCACGCCTACTCGAATCGCGATGGTCTAACCAAGAATGAGCTTCGACTGATGAAAGACAATGCCACCCAGAAGAGTAGCGCGTGCCTGACAAGCAAAGCTCTTATCGTAATCTCGGAGTCCACCTCCTAAACCGTTACTGAATCCTTGCAGCGAAGCAAGAGTAGCACGTGCCTGACAAGCAAAGCTCTTCTCGTAATTTCGGACTCCACCCCCCTCCTAAACCGTTACCGAAGTCTTGCAGCGAAGCCAGTCTGGGCGATTCATCATAAACCCGGCAAGTCTCAGCGCTGACATATTGCTCGTCTCTTGAGCTTGCTCCAGGCGGTCTGTTTCTGAAGCCATTCGCCGATTTTACACTTTCTGACGAGACCCGTTACCTTCATTGCTTGCAATGGCGGGAAGTCATCATAATTTCGCCGGTTCGGACCTGCGCCACCTGCTCTTTGAGCGCATTCTCGGCGAAGAAGGCGGCGGCGGAGGCGGTGAGAAGAAGACAAGCGGCCTGTATAACTACATGGTTTACTCGCCCAGCTTCTACATCGCTACAGTGACCGCCTTAATTGTCATCGTTTCACTGGTCTTCGAGAAAATCATCCACGTCATCCACCATGTAAGTTTCCTGATCTTCAAAACGGTTTTGTCTTTTTCCTTGAATGAGAAAAGCCAAGAAGCAGGCTGTAATGCGTCACGCACATTTGTCTGTTGTGCGCAGTGGTTTGGTCACAGGAGTGCACGTGGTCGACCGCATCAAAGACGGTGAGAACTGCTGAGTGTAAACGATAATACTGTATTTTGAGGCTCCTAAAAACGCGTCACAGGAAGAATAAGGCCCTCGTGCACGTGGTCGACCGCATCAAAGACGGTGAGAACTGCTGAGTGTAAACGATAATACTGTATTTTGAGGCTCCTAAAAACGCGTCACAGGAAGAATAAGGCCCTCGTGCACGTGGTCGACCGCATCAAAGACGGTGAGAACTGCTGAGTGTAAACGATAATACTGTATTTTGAGGCTCCTAAAAACGCGTCACAAGAAGAATAAGGCCCTCGTGCACGTGGTCGACCGCATCAAAGACGGTGAGAACTGCTGAGTGTAAACGATAATACTGTATTTTGAGGCTCCTAAAAACGAGTCACAGGAAGAATAAGGCCCTCGTGCACGTGGTCGATCGCATCATGTTAGGGTTGGTTCGCCCAACCACGGAACCTACGGCGAAATGCGGAATGACGGCGAAATGGAGCGCGTGGGAGATTTTAGATCTAAGACGGTGGAAATCGACCTACGGTGGAGAATAGAAGCTACGGCGTGAGAAGCGGGAAGGAAATCGAGAAGGAATGTGCAGGAAGGAGGAATAGAGAAGGAGAAGCATCGAGAATGAGATCGACGGGGGAAATTGTGGTTCGAGCTTGAGGCGCGTTCGAGAAGGTTCGAGATTCGGACTCAAGAAGTGTTCGGTGCATTCGGTTCAGTTCCGTGTGCGACTCGGGGTGAAACGAGGCGCACGCGGTTACTTGGGAAACAAGTGAAGTTACGAATCGCATTTTGTGTCTTGCCTGACTATAAAACTGCTTGTACTCATTCTGGAAAACACAACATTGGACAACTTGGAGATTCTGAAAATTGCTGAAGTGTGTATTGACAACTTCAAGCAGAGCTGCGCATATCATTGGAATCGGGTGATCGTGGAGAACACGATAAGCAATAGCAAGTAGACTATTGCCGACTAAGGCGTTTACGATCTTAAGACATCAAAGACGGTGAGAACTGCTGAGTGTAAACGATAATACTGTGTTTTGAGGTTCCTTATAACGCGTCACAGGAAGAATAAGGCCCTCGTGCACGTGGTCGACCGCATTAAAGACGGTAAGAACTACTTAAAACCAGGGTGCACATTCAATTGGATTTCTGTCAAAGGTTAACCTTTGACCTCGGGGTTACTCAGTGATTTAGGAATATCTGGGGGGAGTGTTCGCTTCAGCAGGTGAACATTTGAACCCTCGAGATTTGGCAAATGTAAACCGAAGTCATCGAATGTGCTTCCGCCAATTCGTTTCCCCCCTCCCCATACCTATTCCGCTCCCACCCCCTTTCCCCTTTCCGCCAACCCAGTTGCCCTCCCCTTGATCCCCAATTTCTAGATCCAAGTGTTATCAATTTCTCCCCTGCCAAGCCTCATCTCTCACGGACGAAAAGCCCCATGCTCGCCCATTCTCAACTATTTATTCGCTACTCGTCAACCAATCAGCAGTTCCCGCAAACATGCCGCCCAAAATTTAGCCTGGAGTCGCGTTGAATGTGTACCCTGGTTTTAATTTCAACAAGGATGTTGTTTCTTCTCATGAAGAATTTCCATCTGTTCTCCTCTAGGGAGAAAACAATACCAGCGAGGATCGAAACTGACACCTGTCCACTTTCTCATATTTTTCCTCTATCTCCTCCTCTCATAATTTTGCCAGAGCTTATGGTCGCCGGATTCCTCTCCATCGTTCTCGCGTTGATTAATCCGCTCCTCGCCGGGTGGTGCGTCCCGGTCGCGAGAAACACCATTCTTATTCCGTGCCAACCGCCGAACATGGCTTATTATTCTCCACCGCCCTTACCTGAGAATAAAAGTGGCGACTACGCAGCTCAGGGTTTCCCAAATGTTCAAATGAATAATAGCTGGGTTACTCCCAACGGCGGAAATGGCACGACGTTTTCGACGGTCGTCAATACCGAGGAGTTCGCGAACGGGACTGGGCTCGAGTTCCGTGAGACTACGATCATGTTCCCGAACGGGACGAAAGTGAAATCTTCGTCGAAATATTTCTTTCGCGGCAACGAAACGGGAGCTGTTACCAACAAGACCAACTCGACAACACAACATAATGGAGCACTATTTCCGGATTTTGATTCTTCAAACAATGTCAACAACGCCGATGAAAGAGGGCTTTTGGAATCTACATCAGATCAAAACAGTAAAGTGACATCCAGTGGCATAGAAGATCAAATTCGTAGGTTGATCCTGGATTGGGAACGACAGAAGGATCAAGAAGGGCATCATAAGCGGCATCTTTTGGAAGGAGACGGCGGTTGGGAGCACGGCAGCAGGTTCACCCACCATGTGCGAAGGAAGCTGGCGAGTTTCCCGAACGAATGTCCAGCTGTGAGTATTTATTCGTGCCCTTACCTCTTCTTGCTGTAGTTCCCTGTTGTTGTTTTTTGGTTGCTTTTTGTCTTCTTGCATTAAAATGCTGTAGATTTGCTGGTCTTACCTTTATCGAATCACTCTGTGTGTGGTTGCAGGGCGAGGAGCCGCTTATGTCGCCTTCAGCCATCCACCAGTTACATCTCTTCATCTTCTTCCTCGTTGCCGGTCACATCGTCTACACCTGCGTCACCATTGTCATCGCCCGTGCCAAGGTAAACTCCTCTCACAATACTTGTTTACACCCTGAAAAAAACAGTGACCTTTCAAGCCCTGTGGTCACATCGTCTACACCTGCATCACCATTGTCATCGCTTATTAGCTTCCCCATTCCCCCTCCTTCTCTCCCCACCCAACCACCTCGCCGCAGGTATCCACGTGGCACGTGTGGGAGAACAACTGTCAAGAGAGCTAAAGCAAAGGAAGGTCATATCCATGCCTTGTCTCCCCTCCGTTCTCCCTTCACCCCCACCCACCCACCCACCCACTCACTCCGTCCCAGGTATCCACGTGGCACAGGTGGGAGAACAAGTGCCAAGAGAAGATGAAGCAAAGGGAGGGCGCGGTATCAGGTCAGCTCACCCGCGCGCTGCAAGACCGGAGCTTCATTCTCCGCCACACAGGACCCCTTGCCAGCTTTCGCCGCCGCATGGCACCTGACGTGGCAGATGCCGGTTCCAGCTCAGCAGGTGGCGGATATGACGTGGAGCAGCCCCCTCCCGGCGTGGAGCAGGAGCCGGAGCTGGCGAGAACCTTCCAGGAAGCTGTCAAGGAGGGGGAAGAGGCGAAAGCCCAGGGGACTCAGGAGCAGCAGGTTCGGGAGCAGGCTCGGGCACAGGAGGCTCGGGAGCCGGCTCGGCGAAGCTCGAAGTTGCAAGTTCACTATAGCGATGAGGATGACGTGGCAGAGGAGGACGTGCCGGAGCATTTCACTTGGATAGGGGAGGAGGAGGAGGAGGGGGATGACCTGGATACGGTTTACGAGGACGAGGAGGAGAGAGAGGAGGAGGAGAAGAAGGAGAAGGAATGGAGGAGGCAGAAGGGGATGAAGGAGGGGGAGGGAGGGGGCAAGGGGAAGAAGCGGCTGACTCGTCTGGCAACAATGGCGCGGAAAGAGGCGAGCACTGAGCTGACCGTGTGGCAGTCGCTCGTGCTCACTGTGGTGAGTGTGTGGGGGGGAAGGCAGGGATGGGGGAAGTCAGGGAGGGGTGAGGGCTGGGATGGGGGGAGAGGTAATCGTGCACACACATGGTACGCGGGAGAGGAGAGCAGTGAGCTGACCGTGTGGCAGTCGCTGGTGCTCACTGTGGTGCGTTGGGGTTGGGGATTGCCCAAGGGTAGGGTTTGGTTGAGGGGATTAGTGGGCAAAAAGCAATAAGTTAGCCTCTCAAACTTTCCATCCTTCTTCTCCCATCTCCCTTCCACGTTCTCCTCTCTCTTAATGCTCTAGCTTTCTTCTCATCCACCCACCTCCTGCCCCAACTCACCCCATACTTAACCCCACAGCAATGCTTTTTCCAGCAGCTGTTCAACCCCATCACCCGGTCTGACTACTACACTCTCCGGCTTGCATTCATTCACGTAAGTATTATTACTATTATTACTGTAATTCTTATTGAGTGTATTATTATTACTATTATCATTGTTATTGACATTCGTATTATTATTATTTATTTATTATTGTTATTGATATTATCTTTGGTTTGTATTTCCTACTTCCTTTAGGTTGTACACAGTTAAGTGTTGGCTTGCTGTGTGATTCTTTATCAAGCACTGATGATGTTCCTCCCTTGGTGACTTTCTTTCTACAATATCAGAATCAAGCACGCACCACTCGCCCACTCCCTTCCCCTCCCCAACTTTCCTCCCCAACTTTCCTCCCCAACTTTCCTCCCCAACTTTCCTCCCTATCTTTCAGAATCAGGACCTTCCTCGCGACTTTGATTTCTACCACTACGTGGTTGGCTCCCTGGAGAAGGACTTTGTGCACATCGTCGGCCTCAGGTGAATGCTCAGGTGTTTTCAACAGATGCTTGGTTTGGTTAATGACCTAGAGAACGACTTCGTCCACATCGTCAACCTCAGGTGTTTTTCCAGGTGCGTGGTCGATAGCCTGGAGATGGGCGTTTTGTTTGCATAATCACGCTCAGGTGAAATCTCAGGTGTACTTTCACAGAATGCTACTCAGGAATCGACTCAGGTTGTTTAACATAGTGTTTCTGTTTCCTGTCTGCTTTTTCCTCATCCATAACCCCCTCCTCCTCCCTTCCCCCAAGATCTCCTCCCAACTCTTTCCAACCCCCCCCCAACCCCTTCCCTCTGCCTACCCAGCTTGCCGCTCTGGATCACTCTCATTATTGTCATATGCATCACAAGCTACAGTAAGTCACTCCTCTCAGGGCGGAATGAATGCACTGGATGTGTCCCTTTGTCACTGACTCTCTTCTCGTAGCAATCAGTTTTCTGCTTTTGTATATATAGAAACGTAGTATATGTATGTATGTACATATATATACATGTCTATGTCCTGTTCTTCTTCCTTAGAACTTTATTACCCTTTCTCGAACCTCATCACTCTTACTCTCTGCTGCAGAGTGGGATATCTCCTTCATCTTTTCCGTTCTCGGCCTCCTGGTGAGAACATCCTCGTTATAAGCACGTTCTTGTAACGCATGCTTGTTTAAGTAAATAATCGTTTTTTTTTACAACTCGTTGGATGCACAGACTCCCAAATGCATATTTCCAACAACTGCACATGTCCTTTATTTGCATACATATCAATCTATGTAGCATGCACATGCCCGTGCAGACCCTGCATAACATTGCATATGTATACAAGCTTTCACGCATTTGCTATATACCTACATATTAACATATGAATCTGTTTAATGTATATATACACACAGATCGCCCTAGCAGTGGGAACGAAGCTGGAGTACATAGTATCGCTGCTGGCTCTAGAGAGTGCGCATGTGACTGGGAACTGCGAGGGCTGCCACTTAAAGCCCCGAGGCTCGCTCTTCTGGTTCAAGCGACCAACCTTCATGCTGTCTCTGCTGCACTTCGCTCTCTTCGTTGTAAGCAACTCCCTGTGTTCCTGAGTTGTTGAGTTTCAGGGACTCTGTTGTAAGCGTAATGGTTAGGAATAGGCATGACACTGATGCTCACAGTGCCTCCTTTAGTTTTGAGTTTCAGTGGCCCCTTTTCATGTTTATTTGCTGCACTTTGCACTCTTTCTCTGAGCATTTTTTTTTTTTTTTTTTCGTACTTTATCTATACATGACAGTCGATTCTAGCATATATGGTGGACATTTTAACACTCTGGCTTGAAATTCATCCCCTTTAAAAGCTGTCTCTTTATCATCTCTCTTCCCTCCAAACCTTTTACTGTACTTTTCCATGCAGAGCTCGTATATGATCGGCAACCTAGTCGTTTACTATGTGAGTAGCACCCCAACGGCCACAAGGTAAAAAGAGTGTGGGAGGTTTTCGAGGATCAACACGGTAGGGAGTGTTGTGATTTTTGAGTCGACTCAAAAGGCACCCCGACGGCCACAAGGTAAAAGAGTGTGTAGTTCCTGAGGATCAACACGGTAGGAGTGTCGTATTTCCAACACCTTGCATCTCACTTCTTCCTGCAAACGTGTTACCAAGGTACACTGCCATGGCCCAAGCTCATCCCCAGTCGTTTTGAGTCGACTCAAAACGCAAACGTGTTTCCAAGGTACAGCGCCATGACTCTAGCTCATCCCCAGGCCGTGGGTCTCAATCGGTTCAGAAATCTCTTACCCCACGGCTTTTGTTCTCGCTCTCCTTCTCTCCGCTTCACTCCCTTTCACTCCTCTTCCCTCCCTTTCACTCCCCTGCCCTGCCCTGCCCTGCCCACACCAGTATCTGGCACCGAACCAATCACAGTGCAAGTCCCACTCTCCCTGGGTGCCATGGCTCAACTTCATATTCGGCATCTCAAGTCCATCACCCCAGAACTCCTGTTCTCACTCCCCTACCCTTCTCTTCCTTTTCCTGCTCTGCCCTGCCCTACCCTGACCTCCCGTGCCTTGCCCACGCCAGTATCTGGCACTGAACCAATCACAGTGCAAGACCTACTCGTCCTGGGTGCCTTGGCTTAAATTCATATTAGGCATCGCCACTGTGCTCATCTGCAGTCTCAGCACGCTGCCGCTATATGCCCTCCTAACTCACGTGAGTTTGCAGTTCTTTGAGGCGTTTTCACTACAATTTTTGCTTAAGTGGCAAGTTCGTTCTCCCCATTGCTCGCTGCCGCTTAGATTTCACTGATAAGTGTACCCACCCACCCACCCACGTTCTCCATCTGTTTGTGTTGTGCAGATGGGCGGCAAACCCAGCCACTCGGACGAAGGACGTAAGCAAGGGAAAATAGCGGCTGTTTTCACAGAACAGATGAAGAAAATAAAGGAGCACAGATCCAAGGATGATGTGCGAGCATAGAGTGCTAGTACCGGTACCTTAGGTAGATACTACCATATCACCACATTGAACGTAGATAATCGTTTTCTACATGACCTTAATAAGCAGCACCCCCTGTATGTTGTTTCTTTGCAATTTCCCAAAATAAATGGGGGGGCTTTAGATTAGATGTGTTGGTTCACTCCACCTGCTGAACATGCCAGCTTCACACATCCTTCTAACGCCATTTCATAGGAAGGTTCCTACCATTGGTAGCAAATATTGTATGCACTTCATAATTACCACCAGTAGCTTCCCTGATTGAAAATTCTTCTAATGACGAGGCAACCAGAGCTAATCTATGATACACAAACCACCCATTGACTGCAGTATTTTCTTCTCACCCCACCTACCTGCCTTCAATATATGGTACCATCAATAAAATCTAACGTCACCCAGAACAAGCCAGAAATTCTTGTGCAATAGTGTAATCTTCACTTCACTTGCAACAGCTTCCCATGCCTGGCGAGGCGATCCTCCTGATGTCATCCAGCGACAATCTATGCTGAATAATCTCCTCGTGGCACTCTTTCTGAGGCGTCTCGTAGTTCAATTAACTTCCAGTAGTAGCTTCCCATGCTTAGAAATCCTCCTAATGTCATCCAGCGACAATCTCTGCTGAATAAGCTCCTCGTGGAACTCTTTAAACGCGTCGCAAAACGCCACCGCATCCCCCGGCGGCAAGTGCGCCGCCACTCGCTCCTGCAGCACCTCCCAAAACGACCTAGAAGGAGTAGGAGCCGTTCCCCCAAGCCCTAGATTCGCTTCACCTGTCTCGGGTTGCTGCCCGGAAGCTCCCTCTGCGAGTAAACTGACTTGCTTGGGATTACCGCGCTGGGATTCAGATGCGTGGGAGGAAGCAGCAGCAGTGGTGGCCGGGAGATCGTTTTCGTTGTAGTCACGCGAGCGAACTACTGGGTAAAGCGCCAGGGCTTTAAGAAAATCCGATTCATCCATGTGGGGAAAAATATGCGGGACGGAGGATACGCTTGGGTACTGCAGCGCGCAAATGGCGGAGAGATGCGGAGAAGCGAGAGAGAGGCCTGGACTATATATTTAAAATAGAGTTGTTATGGAAAGGAATCAGCACCAAACAGGACACCAGTATTTCCAGCTATTCTTGACAAGAATACATGTCCCGAGGACTAGTGCGCGCTATGAGGCTGTAAGGGCGGACCAAGCCTGGTCCACTATCGGTAATCTCCAAACAGCACCAGGACTAGGTCGAACGTACGCGACCTCGAGAAAGGTTTGCGATAAACGACAAGGAGAATTCATGGAAGGTAAATAGTTCACTACACCACATGTATTTACATACACAGCTGATATGATTGACAAGGGAAGATTGTTTGGGAGAGAAAAACTCCACACAAAATACGAGCTTTGAAAGCGATGCAAATTGCTAAATTGCTTCAATATGCAAAGACCGCAGATTTGTCTCGCATGTAGCAACTACACAGGAATTATACAGCACCACACATGATGCCATTTCATACCTGCCAGTACACGTCACCATCTAACCACGTCAAGATGACATTGGTTCATGTGAACTGTGCTCCTCAAGCTCTCTACAAGAGCGGCCTTGCGCTAATGCAACTTGCAAAAGCCCTTGACACGGTAAACCCCTGCTTCCAGACGCCTCCAATACTGCCACTGCTGACCCTTGCTGCAAAGCAGACTCGTTTTCTTCTAGCAAACCCTCTCCACTGGCGCCGAGGAAAAGCACTGCAGATGTTAGCGCAGCAGCTAGTAACGAGAGCATGAAAGTGGGACCCCGAGCAACTGGGTCAGACGACTTGACGGGTGGAGGCGGCGAGAGTTTGGCTCCCACAATAATGGTGACGTTGTATTCCCCTCCATCGGCTGTGATTGTGCCTACAGAACCTGTGAATTGTGGAGGGAGGTCAGGAACAAGAAGCACTCGGATTTAAGATTCCCCCGAGTTATATCGTATCGCATGTTGGCTGTTATTGTGCCTGTTGAGCCCGAGTCAGGAGGGAGGACAAAAAACGGGAGGACCTGGTTTTCCGACGTCCCAGAGTTTCAATCTCTTGCTATTGGTTGTAAGAACCTAATCGAAATTGACTCACTTGGTAGACTCAAAATGTGACTTAGTAGTGAATTTAGAAGTTAGATAAGTTGCTGAAGTGCAACGAAACTCACAGTCGTAGGGAGCCCATCCAAGCTTCATGTTGTCCGTGCCATACACCACAAGGTGGTTGCTTTGGACTCGAGTCAAAGGTCTGCTTTTGAGTTGACTCAAAAGCAGCTTCATGTTGTCTGTGTCATACACCACAAGGTGGTTGACTTTGACTCGAGTCAAAGGCCACCTGACTGTAGAGGCACCTCAGAGCACTGTTGTTGTGCCAGTGCAGTGAAAGGAACTCACAGTCGTAGGGAGCCCAGCCCAGCTTCATGTTGTCCGTGTCATACACCACAAGGTGGCTTCTAAGTGACTCAACACTTAAAGGGAGCGACAAGACACGCGATGGCTGTACAGGCCTCGATGGAGCTTACAGTCGTAAGGAGCCCATCCGAGCTTCATGTTGTCCGTGTCATACACCACAAGGTGGTTGCGCAGCACTATGTCTGGGAAAGGGAGAGAGACGGGATTAGGGGAGGGGAGACAGGAGCGAGAGAGGGAGAGGGGATTTGGGCATCCCATCCCAGCTTCGTGTTGTCTGTGTCATACACCACAAGGTGGTTGCGCAGCACTATGTCTGGGAGGAGGACAGGCCGGGAAAAAGGGAGGGAGACAGGAACGAGTGCGGGGAGAGGTAGGAAGGCGGAGGGGGAGAGACGAGATACGGGAGACAGGAGGCAATGGGTCAAAGGGAGGGGGAGGAGGAGATGGTTCAGGCATTACCGATGGCCTATGGATATCATTTGAAAAACAAAAAAAACAAAAAAAAGAGGGACCAATGACAAGATGAGACTTGGATATAATTTTTGGTCGACTAAAAAAGGGAAGCAGCGAGAGGGACAGATGATGAGACTACCAATCAGATGTTTGGAGAATGACAGCTAAGTATAGATTCGACCCAGATCCAGCAGACCAAGCTCTTCCTATTCTTCAATAATCGGTATTTCATAGGTATTTCGTAGGTGCCAAGGCTAGGTAGGGATTACATAAACAAGGAAATATTATTCCAATCAGATAGTTTGGAGAATGGCCAGCCAGCCAGCAGAGGTTGTGAGTGAGACTTGCGCGCCTGTGAGCGTGCCCGATTGGCTAGTCACTTGAGTGAGCGTGCCTGTGACAGACATGAATTGTGCTCTTGATGACAGTGACTGTAATGAATGCGAGTCGTACGCACCTCCAATGACGGTTATTTTGGAGAAGTCTCCTCCGAGCATGGGTTGCCATCCTATGCACGCAGCCATGACCACTCCCTGCCAGCCAGACACATATACACAAGGACACAAGGACAGACCCAACACGAGAACTTTTGAGTCGACTCAAAAGTCAGCTCGTTGACTCGACTCAAAACTCGCAGCCATGACCACCCTCTGCCAGCCAGACACATATACACAAGGACACAAAGGACAGATCCAGCTCGGGTATATTCTTGACATGGCTCAAAAACATGAGCTCCCCCATTCTTGAGGCGCCACAAAAACATGACCACCCCCTGCCACACACACACGAGCAGACAAGAGCAGATGCAGCACGACGCAGTGCAGGAGGATAGGGGTAGAACACTGGATTCATGTCGGAGTGCAGGAGGTGCAAGGAGGGGTAGAAGGGTAAGAGGATGGACTCACATAGAAGTGCAGGAAAACATAGGGGGAGGGTTCACCGGACATGTCTTTTGAGTCGACTCAAAACACACCAGGAGAGGTAAGGGGAGTCTGGCATAGTGGGCTCACATTAGAATGCAGGAAGACATAGCCGGGGGGTTCGACGGTCATGTCCATTTTGAGAAGGGAGGGGGCTGGCTGGCATAGTGGGCTTACATTGGAGTGCAGGAAGACATAGCCGGGGGGCTCAACGGTCATGTCAGCCCCCTCAAAATGGAGTGTCACTGTTGGAAAGTACTTGGAAAGTTCCTCATACTTGCTGTATCGAGGAGGCAAAAACACGAAGCGGGGGGGCGGGGGTGGCGGGTGGTGGGGCCGAACAGAGGAAGACTTATTTCAGGTGCCTAAGAATTGGTGGGAAACTTCTACCTATACCCCAACAGCCCTTGCTTAATGGGAGCCATTTGCCATCCATGCCACAACAGCTGTCCCTGGTGTGGATGGGAAATATTGCCGAGATAAACTGGCCGCACTACAGCTGGTTGTAGCGCATTTTGCCCCAGCGTGGCTGGCTGTAGCACGGCTGGCTGTGGTGCAACTGGCTGTAGCACGGCTGGCTGTGGTGCAACTGGCTGTAGCACGGCTGGCTGTGGTGCAACTGGCTGTAGCACAGGTGACTGTAGCACGGCTGGCTGTAGCACAGCTGGTTGTAGCACAGCTGGCTGTAGCGCACCGTAACCTAGCTATTGCACATGTGCCTGTAGCGCACTCACTTGGAGCCAAAGTCGTAGCAGAGGAGGTCCGATATGCCTGGGGCAGAGTGATGAGACTGGTAACATGGTAACAAGGCTGTAGCACAGCTGGCTGTAGCGCACTGTAGCCTAGCTCTCGCACATCTGCCGCACCTAGCCTAGCTCTTGCTTAACTGGCTGTAGTGCACCTAGCCCATCTCTTGCAAATTTGCCTGTAACGCACTCACTTGGATCCAAAGTCGTAGCAGAGAAAGTCTGACGTGGCGCCCACTTGCGGTAGGGTGATGAGAGCAGTAACCTGGTAACAGGGGGCAGGGTGGGGAGGAGAGGGGGTGGGTGGGAGTGGGGAGGTGAGGAACGTCAGAAGCGGTGGCTGTTTCGGAAGAGTAATGAGAACAGTAACATAACAACAAGGGACGAGGGAAAACCAACGGAAGTGGGAAAAGAGGTGACTTTTGAGTCGACTCAAAAGTCACCTCGACTCTGGAG